TGTTACTTTGTAGGAAATTGGTTTGGAATGGAAAAACTTAATTTTATCGATTTTTCCATTTCTCATGTCTTTTCACTGACTTAGTTAGCACAAGCGAACTGAAAAAGCACCCCAGTAGCAAAAGGTAGTCGGTAAAGGGGGGATTGAAGTGTTGAATTGATCGCTGATTTTTAACACAGCGATGTCCCTGACATACCTGGGAATACGAATTGATCAGTTGCATTGCCGACCCACATACCTGGGTGTATAACCCATTAGTTACACTTATTACTGCCTTCCATTACTAAGTAATTCGAATTCAATACATATATTTTGCATATGAAAATAATGTGATTCAATGAATTTAATTTAAATTTGAGTTAATTTTGTTTATCTCCTTTGATGAAAAAATTTTCGGCCGATCTTCTCCTTCAATGTGTGCTTTTTAACTTTCGCTTCATAAATATGATACGCAATCCGCGATCCAAAGACCTGAGAATGAAAAATGAAGAGTTTACGGGCGTATTTAAAATACTTTTTCTTGTTTTGGTGATGTACGATCCACAAGAAAGACTCTGTTATTCGCAAACTGTAATTTTCATACTTACATATACAAATATATACGTATGTATATATGTATATTGCTATTTCGTTACATTTTCATAAAAAAATTACAGGCAATTCGGCAAGACATTCTCGGATATGTAAGGGACAGTTAATGGATTGGAAGAATGTTGATTACTTTCAATTTAAATATACTAATATTAGTTAATATTTTTTTTCTTCTCAAAATTTGGTCACAAATTTGTTTATCATAATCCGAAATAATGAAGAGCAAGTAAAATCAAATTACTCCACACGATATGTACAGAAAGTATAGCAAAGTCCCCAACCAATAACAACATTTACCTTGCTGAGCGCCATCTATGTATGAATAACTTATTTGTAAAGTGCTAAAAATTATTAAATCACTTATACGCCATGACAACTCTTTCCATAGTCACTTCACACCGACTACCGATGATGAAATGTAGAAAACTTCAATGTCCAATTTTCCAAATTTACAGCAAAACAAGAACAAAAAAAAAGAATTTAAATAGAAGTAAAAACTAAGTTAACGCAGTAGGCAGCTTTAGTTATTCAATTGATTCATCGAACATGGTGTATTATGGTCAGTTAATGCCTTCAATGCCCAATACTCGTATTATGTAAACACAAGTAAACCCGAAGGTCCAGTATTAACCAGCGTGCTTTCTGTCCAGGGCCATTCTTTAATATTACCTACGAAATTTTATCGGTATATTTGCTGCGTTAAACCAATTTCCGCTTTCATCAGCTCAAAAATAGAAAATAGCGCAGACTTTTAAATTTATACCATTATTTTTATTATTGTATTTAAAATTCAACAACTGTATTAATTTTTCAAACAATGTAACGAAATGTGCAACAATGACTTACACATTCTTACAAAATATTATTATGTACTATTGCTATTTATGTTGCATGTATGTTGTTTTTTTTTTTTGTTTTTTTTTTTTGTTATGCACGCTGAGCATTTATTTTTTCTGTTTGATTTTTATTTTCTCTAATTTTATTGTATTTTTTTTTAGTTTTTAATGATTTACGTATTCTTAAACTTTCACCGTTATTCATTTACATAATGTATGAATATGTGTATGTATGTATGTAGTAGATAATAATTGCATTAAGTATAAAATAAGTAGTTAAAAAATAATTGAACACAACAATTTATTTCATAATATTCTAAGGTGTGTATAAATAAATTTGTAATTATGTATGCATGTATTACTTGGAGAACAAAACAAAAATAATAAATTCTGTGTTAAATGACTTGACTATGGACATGTGTATAACCGTATGCATGTACGTGTATATATATGATGTTAGAACTAAGGCAGAAATTATATATATGTGTGTGTATGTGTATATGCGTTGAAGGGGGGAGGGGGGTGAGGGAAAATAAGATAAAATAAAAACTATAACAACAACTTTTGCTCACTCGCGTATTACATACAAACTCTGTATTTATGCTATGCATTTCTTTAAAGCCAACAATGTGATAATTTCAACAATAAAGATACATAAATCGTTAACTAATAAATACATTTACATTAAATGAAACATTTCAAAGGTACATATGATTGCGTGTATGTATGTTTGTTTATATATATTATATGTATGCACTATATGCACCGATCAGTATGTATGTATGAATGTTCATATGTATTTTTGTATATTTTTACAATTTGTTAAGTATAGCAAGCTTGCATATATATATATATATGTATATATATACGTATATATATTGTGTGCCACGGTTAGTGGATGCCGTTTAACGGTTCCGTGTATACCGTTTGCGTCAACATTGTGGACTGTGGGTCCATAGCGCGAAGCAAAGAACCCTTGGACGGATGTTATGCAGAACTTTACTCATATTAACTACATACATTGCAACATTCTCGTAATGCTCATAATTTCGTTTGATTCATCATTAGCGAATGGTTTAATTTTTTGATTAATTTTTTTTTTTCCAATTTCAAAGAATTATTTCTCTCTGTTTTCTGAAGCCGGAGTAGAGTACTTTCTTGCAAGTTAGCGCTGTACGATTTTGAGAAATACACATGTACATATATAAAAATATATGTATGTATGTATGTACTTATTATCGTTATTTCTGGAATATCTTTTAATTATTGCACATATACGAATATGTATATACGTGTACGTTCAGCAATTTGCTTTTACGAATATACGTGTATGTATGTATGCACGTATTTCCCTTTACTACATTTTCAGCTATTTTAATTGTAACTATAATAAAGATATTTCTAATAATAGTAATAATAATAATATATAATCTTAGTTTACATATCTGTATATATTCTATATATTATACATATATATGTATATATATATTTGTTTGTTTTTGTTAAACTCTGAAAACATAACAATTTAAAGCCTTCCTGTAAGGCCATTCAATGGTGCAATATTACTAATAAAATACCTAAGATTACTCGCTCACAATTTTCGAATTTTCCTATACGATTATTAATAATATTATAACAATTATTGCATTCATTCATTGCGTTTGCTTTTACTAATTTACATTTCAATCGCGATCTCTAGGTAAACTTCTGTGTGTATGTTTACATAAGTGTGTTTTAGATAAATAATTGGAGTTTCTGGTATTCAATATTATATATTTATCACCATACTTTTAACAAGGTTTTTAGTTTATGCATTTAATGTCAAGGTATCTACGCTGTTTGTGTGTATGTGTGTGTGTGTGTTATGGGATCGAATTTGTTAAAAATGTTGTTGATTGTTACCCATTTTGCTATTAATAGACCGAGCTAAGCTCGATAAGCAGTTTTTCATAAGTATATAAGTATATATGTATACATATATACGAGTATATATACATAAAGACGGCCATTAAACAAGCGGCGAAAAGTGTGCATTTATAAAGAAAGAGAAAAATAATTATTATGTACAGAAGAGCACAATTGTTGTTGCTTTCATAAGCCGCAATATTTACATGTTTATGACATTACTATTATTTTTCAAATATTCTCCAAATAAATTGCTAATTTAAATAAAAATAACGTAGAGTAATTGTTTAAGTGCAATTGAAATTATAAAATTTTACTAATTGTTTACTTTAAAATGTTGCAGATCTCAATTTAAAAATAATAAAAATTTGTTCTGCTCAATGCTGCCTTGCCTACAATTCACATCATTTTTTAAGTTTAATTCGTTTAATGGGGTGGCGTTTTTCGCCCACCATTATGCATCGAATTATGATTGCTTGGTTTTGTTTTTTTGGGATTTTTGCTAGTTCTTGTGTCCTTAATCAAAGAGGAAGGTAGGTATCTACGTAGCTTCGAATATAAAAATATTGCTTAATTATTTTGATTTCTTTATTTTCCACTAATTATAGTTAATTATTTAAATTTCTTAGACATAGAACAAAATTATGATAAAATTCAATGAATATGTATGTATTGCATGTACATATATGAGAGGTATCTTTGGGCAAAATAAAAAATAAAAATTGAAAATAAAAAAATGTATTAATACGAAAGTGAAAACAAGTCTGAAATTGTACATTTCGCTAATTCGTTGCGGAGAAAGAGAGTTTGTTATTGCTCAGAGACAAACCCATTAATAGGAAAACATTTTGATGAAGTAAGTGTTGTAACTAAAAAAAAAAAAATTAAGAAATAGTTATACTTTCTTTTAGTGTGAATTGGTGATTTGATGTAAAAACACAAATCATACATTTTTTCGCAAATTGTTTAACCAGTAATATAATATTAATTGTGCAATCATGCACAGAAGCTCATCAGTAGTAAAACTATTATTGAAATACAATTCTGCCGCAAGCAAAACACACCGCTCGACACAAATATATTTAAAAAAAAATTATCTACATAAGACGGATCTAACGGTAATTTAACAAAGTGCGACAACTCTAACTGCAAACAACAAAGTGAATAGCGTCAGTGTTATGAATGACATCTTGGATGCTTAAAGCATTTATGTCTTTTGCTTATTTCCGCTTGAAAGCAGGTTCCATTTTGACGTGAAAAAATAAAATTAATTTAAAAGACGGAAGAAGCACAACGAGGAACTTACGAAAGATTTCAAAGTCAATGCCGATTTTAATACAAGGGTCGTCTACATTAGCAACGGACATTAACAATAAATGCGACAACATGTAATTGATGTAAAATATATATGTACGAATATGTGTAAATGCAATTGCAATCGAACACAAAAGGGTAGCGCCAAATCAAAAATGTTTCCGTTTCTTAAGTTTTATAGTTTTCAATTCTAAAGCTTATACCCTCTTAATACATGCATATACATACATCCATGCACTATAAAACATAAAAACATAAAAACGATTGTATGTAACACACATAAATTTTGAAACATTAAATCAAGTAATGTAACAACATTATAGACTTTCAATATAAAACATATGAAGAGTGTTTTTAGAGTTTTGTTCAAAAAATATTTTCTAATTGTTCTATTATTAACTGAATATTTATGATTTGTATACATATTAACATATGTACGAGTACATAACAATTACATACTAAGTATGTGTACAATTTTCCGTTGCTTATAAACTATTTATACGTTTTATAACATTTGCTGTTTTGTTTAAAATTACTACATACATACGTTGAAGGTACATTGCAAATTTGACCAGCACTAATATTTAAATTATTGAGTGACTCCACACGGGCAAATGAAAATTTTATATAGCACTTCAGCACATACATACATACATACATGTATCTCGAAATGTTTGTGTGCCATAAAAAATTCCCCTTTGCCCGTCAAATGTTACCATTGGCTCTACTTAATGCTTCATTCTAATTATTTATTAAATATTTAATAACATTATTAGTTTTTCTTAATTTTGGGGCGGATAAAGCTCTAAATGCATTTCTAAAAAGTGTTTTGTCTATTGAAAATGTTTTTTTTTGTTTTTATTTTTTGTATTTCTTTCTTTCTCTTGAAGAAAATTTGTTAACAAATTTTCCTGTTTTCACAGCTTTTTGCTCGACTCTACGACTGCACGAGTTATTTTCGATTAGCTTCAGCGAGTAGGTACTCGTTATTTTAGCTGGCGTACTTATTTTAAGATTAAGAAAATTGTACGTTAAATACGATAATTTGCATAAGTATATTACTAAATGTACTATTTTTATGTTTTTTGTGTAATTTTGTTTTGTTTTGTTTTTGATTTGTTCTTGCTTTCGTTACAATCAGCTATCACACACTTTTACATTTCGTTCTTTCTCTTTTATTATCTGCTTTCTTTTATATTGCTCCTGAATTCCAAAAATGCTGACGCAAGCATATGGAGTATGTATAAGCATTAAATACTAATACTCGTATTATGTGCCTCTTGTTAAAAAAAAAAACGTTTATTCAGCTTTTAAGTTGGCATTTACTATCTCAACGCCTCGGACCTCATTCGCCGAAACTCGTAACGTCCGTGGCAACATACATACATATGCATACGAGTATATATGAATGTACATTCTCGTAAATCTATTTTTGATTGCTGACAATGCCCGCAGTTGTAAGGCTCATTGGTTGCTATTGATGGCTTTTGCTCAATAGATGCGAATTGAATTCGTAGACATTATTGCACTGTTCGCCACAGATATTGCACTTCCATGGATTGCTCTCGCAGTGACAGCCCTTGTGGAGGAAGTAAAGTGTTTCGTCCGGAAACTCGATGCCACAGAATAGGCATGTGAGTATTTGCTTTCGATTTAGCAGATTCGATTCGGTTTCTTGGCCAGTTGAGGTGATTGTACCGTTGCAAATGGGTGTTGAATTGCAAGTGGCGTTGTTGCTTGTGGTGCCGCCGGCTCCCGCCGTTTGTACAACATTGTTGTTGTCCAGCACAGCCGCGTTGCGGGTTATCCGATTATTAGCTTTGGCGCAAATGCGTCGCTTAAGGTCCTCTCGCAACAAGGATTTCAGTGGAGACACCTGTAGGTATAACACAAATATTTAGAAATAAATTCATTCGTATGTTTGTATATATGTAATTGCGAATTGTTAAAAAAAAGAACTCGTTATATTTTTGTATTCTTCAAGGAAAAAATAGCTCGAGGTCGAGTGGGCCGTACAGAAGTAGGGAAATTTAGCAGTTTTATTCCAAATTTTAAGACATTTTGTATATCTTCTGGTACCCGCTCCTCTGAGCAACAAACTTGAAGATAAAGATTGCCCACCTGGATGAATTTTCTGTATGCACTACACGATCTGACTTGGATGTATTTGAACCTGGCAAATAACTTGATTGGCTGAAACCCACCCCTCGTTAATCGCCTCAAGGCAGAGACCTGAGACTGTCTATTCCAGAAGACGTGCCGCTTTTTGCTATAGTATCGATCGTTTAGGGTAGTTGATTGGGTTTTTAAGACCATAATTCTACTCAACACGTCGTAGGGAATCTTTATTTGGTGAATGTAAAAGTCTTCGTCTGTCGTGCTGAACATTAACATGGTGGATGAGTGTGTTGATGGACTACTCTTTCGTTCGCGGTCTGTACACAAAATCTTTAAATTACAGGATCCACTATATATATGTATGAGCTCGATTGAAGTAATCGCCACCCGAAGAAGGGGGAACAATGAACTTCTTCATTTAGGGATGGAAGTTAGGTAGAAGATTTGCTGAAAGAGTTTTCTATCGAGAATCCGCCATCAGCTCTTCGACTAATGTAGCATGCAGGCTTTTAGACAACTTTAGGGTTTGTAAAGAAAACTCTGCTCTACTTTCTCGGAGTGTCATTTGAGTTAAAGAGGCTATCACCTTCGCCGACATCGCGACTGAAGTTTTGCTTAGAATGCATTTATGGTACAGTCAAAGTAGTGCTGACCTCTCTTCCCTTTGTCTTGGAATTTTCTGATATTTGGGCGCCAAGTCAAGGTAGAATCGCTTATAATTACCCTTGATACATCTGCTCAACTGAGTCTTCCTAAGATTAAAGTCCTAGTACTCTAGTTCTTACATTTTCAACAACCTATCTCTGATATTTGTCATTAAAGGATGCGGATTCGTGACTACACACACACACACATCACTGATTAGCCATCTACCACATATTCAACCATCAGTCATCATGAGCACTGTCACGCAGTGTTTAAACTCTCAGGATGAGCTCGCGACGATTTTTACTTCGCCGTAGTGGAAAACAAACAGAGGGGCCTACAGTTCATACTAATCCGCCCACGAGCGGCTGATGGCTTCTTTATGAAGAGCTTTATTTTACGTTAGAAATACACTCGGAGGGGTTTACATTCCCTGCCGAGGGGCGACCGCAATTAAAAAAATTAACTTAAGTTTTTATTTTATTAATTTTCCATAACTTTTTGGATTTTGGTGGCAACGGGATGTGATCCCTAGCCTTCGTTAGTTTGTATTTACTCATACGTGAATATATATACATATATTAAAATATATAGATCAGATACACATATTTCCAAGCAAACCTTAATTAATGAAGTTAATCTGCTGTTCGAAGACGAGAACTCCGATTCACTGCTGTCTCCGCCATTGGTTTGGTCCGTCTGTGTTGGACTGACTTTTTGGCCGCACTTATTCGCATCTGTGGAGAGATCCTCACCAACCGGTTCCTACAGTAGAGCAATAACAACCCAAACCAAAAAGCAAGTAGAAAAGAAAACACAAAGATGGGGAGACATGTACATAGATATGTATGTTTATGTGAACATTATGAAAATAGTATGAGAATCAATAGAAAAATTGTGTATTACACTCGCCTGCTTGATTGGTATCAAACTGATAGATGGTGTGATGTGGTTCTCGTGATGGTGAGTTTTCGGTGAAGCGCAAGCATTCATCTGTACACCGACGTGACTGGTGCTCGAAGGCAACGATTTGGTATTACAATCCATCGGATGCTCTTGAGGTGGTAGTGGCACTGGTGACTTGTTACCGGTAATTACATCCCGTTCCCCCCGACCGCTGTTCTTCGAATCCATTAGTTCCATTCCAGTTGACGCATTAGCGTTGCCCTGCAAATCAAATGCACACAAAAACGCCGCATCAGTGGATTTCCCCAATTTGCAATTTAGCAACGCATTCCATGTTACATTGAACAAGTCGGTTCCATTATCGGACAGCGTTGAGATTTCCACATGAGGCGTCAAAAAGTGCATGGGCGGTGTAGCATTCTCCACCGAACGCATCGATTCCCCACTATCACTCTGATGGGTCGTCATGCTAGAGCTGGTATTCTGGTTGGCTGCAGCAGCAGCAGCAGCAGCCGCTACTGCATTCAAACCTGGCACGAAACCGGCACTGGCAGCGGCAGCCGCAACTGCTGCTTGTGATGCTTGAGACTCCAAGGCGAGCAGCAATGATGAGGAACCGCCCGGTCCTGGATTATCCAGATCTATGCCATGTCTACAAGTACAGTGTTAGAGGATTTCAATCAACTTCAATTAGTTACCACACCTGTTGAAGAAGTGAATTCTCAATGATTTCATAGAACCTGCTCTGTAACTGCACAGCGGACAGGTTTTAACGAGGTCGTGTTGGCCGACATGTTCGTTTTGGAAATGAGCACGCATAGCAATTTGCCGCTGGAAGCCACGGTTACAAATAGGGCAATGGTATGGAAGGGTTTTCGTGTGCGTTGTAAAATGTTCCGCCAAATGATCTTTGCGGAAGAATCTGTAACACGTAATGAACATTAATTTCAAGTGATTTTTAAATCAGAATCTATGGGAACCCAAACCTCTTTTGACAAACACGACATTCGTACGGTTTAACGCCGGTATGGCGCATCTTGTGCCGCCGCATATTGGCGCCATTCGAAAATTTCATATTACATACGTCACACTCGAAGACTTTGCGAGACGAAGACGACGAAGATGAAGACGCAGTTGGACTGCTGGCGTTGCCGTTCGTTGCAATCACCGACATATTTGTAGGCACATTATTTGCTGTTGCCGTATCTGGTAGCAATTTGGTAACGTCATTGCTATTGCCTATGTTGTTATGTTCGGCGTGAGGCGGCACCGTACCACTGACGCTTAAATTCTCTAATTCAGACTCTTCCGTTTTCGGGCGCGCATGATGAGATAAACATTGGACGACATGAAGTAGTAGTGATGCCCTTGAGGCTGTTTCAAAGTTATCGCAGCGATCGCAACGAAATGTCGCCATAGTGGGCGGAGTAGGTGCGGTCGTGGATGTGGAGTAATTTGTTGGCGGCGTACTATTTGCCCGCACTGTAGTATCTAATGCGACTGGCTGCTCATCGGTGCTGCATTCCTTAAGGCTACGCAGTGCGTGGGAATGTTTAACCAACGCATTGTGTTGCAACAAACTCGCGGGTGTCATATCGATGATCCCGCTATCTTTCAGTGTTAACTCCATGCCAGCGGCTGCACTTATAGCCTCAGCCATTTATCTGTAAACAGTTAAGAAACTTTATATATATTTTTTAAGACTTTCGTTATAACTGTCTAAAAAGCAACTTTTTTCCTTCTTTAAATCAAAAGACTTTTATATTTTAATTTTATTCTGGTATGACTAATTCTTTAGTAGTCTTGTGACAGTCTGAATACAACCCCAAAAGAATTCTTAAATTTAACTTGAATTACCATAATTATTGTAGTCCGATCTTCTGATCTAGTTCTGAGTATATAGCTGCATGTACAAGTGTGTGGTAATTAAAAAAACAGTTCTAATGGTTTTCATGGAAAAATTATCTCTCTAGTCAAAGTCTTTTTTAGTGGTTAAACAATATAAGGCCCTTTTAGATAGTCTTACATATACATAATGTATGTATAGATAGTCATACATATACATATATACAAATCATTGGCACTACTACCTTCTTATTTAATTATTTATTTATTCATATATTTATTTATTTTATTTATTTATTGTATTTATTTTTTACTTGCTTTTTACTTACTAATTTATTTAGTTACTTATTTAATTTAACATATTTATTTATTGATTTATTTATATATTTATTAACTAATTTATTTATTAAATTATTATTATATTTTTTTTAGTATTCATTTACTTATGCATTTTTAATTTATTTAGTCACCTTTTTATTTATATGAATATTTATTTATTCCTTTATTTATTTATTTATTTATTTATTTACTTATTTATTTATTTATTTACTTATTTATTTATTTACTTATTTATTCATTTATATGTTTATTTATTTATTTATGTATTTATTTACTTATTTATTTTTTTACTTATTTGTTTATTTATTTATTAATTTATCTATTTATTATTCATTTATTTATTTTTTTTATTTATTATTTATTTATTTATTATTTATTTATTTATTTATTTATTTAATTATTTATTTATTTACTTATTTGTTTGTTTATTTAGTTATTTATTCATTTATATATTTTTTTATTTATTTATGTATTTACCTATTTATTTACTTATTTATTTGCTTATTCATCTATTTGGTTATTTATGCATTTTTTATTTATTGGAACTTTTTTTACTTATATACTATTTATCCGAATATTTATTAATTTAATCGTTATAGCGAGAAACCTTGAACTGCCTTCATCACTCAAACAGTCCCTTATTGTATTTTCATCTTTCATTTCAGTCTAATGAAAAATATATAAAAATGCATATATATAAAAGAAGTATATTTATACGTATATATTGCACTAAAAGCGATCTTCAATCTTCAATTCAAGGCCAAAACTCTGTCATCTTCAAATACAAACCTACACACTAATGGTTCAGTGTTTGAAACTCCTCCATTAAAAAAAAACTGGTTTGGTTATAGGAAAAATATAATGTATCAGATGCAAATTCAAATGCATATATTATTTATACTTTACATAAATTCATGTGTACATATGAAAATGAATAGATAAAACTTTTTCTAAGATTGTACTTTTTTCTTTTTCCTCTGATACTCTAAAGGTCAGCCGGTTAACCTAAATTGGATATGCATACATACATACATAGTATGTACATACAACAAGTTGAGTATAATTTATATAAAATCCGTAGCCATTTTTTAGACATAAACTGCTAAATATGTTTACAATCACATACATATGTATGTAAATAACTCTCTTAAATAACAAATAACCAAAAAATGTTTTATAAGCAATCTAAGAAATCATTTTTTTACTATTCCTGGTTTCTTTCTTTAACTCAATATTTAAAAATTATTTGGTTGACTTTTCTAACTTTTGAGGGTGGGTTCGTGATAACTGGACAAAGGTTTGAGAAAATAGAAAATAGGAAAGTTGGCAACAGATTTAAGGAGTTGATTCATTTAAATTGATATTTATATATATATATTTATATGAAATAAAAGCGAACCTCAAGAGTTAAATTTCCATTACAGCCAGTATGAGGAAAGTAAGTCGGAGCTGTGAACTAATTGTCTGGAATTAATACACATGACCCATAAGAAATTGTTCTCTTTCCCCGTTGGTAATTGGCTAGGAGAGCAAAAGAGATATTTCAATTATAGTTAAAAATAAAATAAAAATAGTAAAAATATTCAAAACCCCATTTTTATTTTCCCACTTGATGACATCGGAAACCTGTAATATGTATGTAAGGTGTGAACGGCTCAAATACTTTTTATGTGGAACCAAAAATGCTGATAAAAAATATTTTCAATAAATATATTTACGTATGTAAATCTTTTACGCTGTCTCCCACAAACAGAAAAAGAACTCCGTGAACTAAAGATTCCAACTAGGAACCTTCGGTTTTAAGACGGTGGTTATTATTCTTATTATTTACATAAGATTTTGTGGCGCTGGATCACTTCATATAGTCAATATTCAAACGTAATTTTCGGGGGCGTCGAAAGTATGAAGTTCTTCACATATGTAAGATATATATATATACAACTTTTCGAATGACATATAATATTTGGCGCGCTCCTAACGTCCCTAAAGGACATATTATTGAAGTTGGATTGACTTTGTTTTGTTATGGCTCTAAATAAATTTCGCATACCACATAAACAACCTTATAAATGACATCAAGTTGCGTGTATTTAAGCATAGCGGTGAGGAGCTGACATGGTGCATGCATCAGCCTGTGGGTCCCATGAAAGCATGCCGGATGCCCACTACCGTGTGATAAGCCTCCTTAACATCACATATAAGGTCCTATCATGGTTTTAGACCTGGTAAGTCAACCATTAAACAGATATCTACCATGCGCTTGGATAAGATCCGTGAAAGGAGGATCGACACACAACATCTCTTCGTCGATTTTAAAGCAGCCTTAGGCAACACTAAAGAGAGCTGCCTTTACGCTGTTATGTCGGAATATGGTATCCCCGCAAGCCATATGCGCCTGTGTAAGCTGACGCAAGACATGCCAGTATTGGGAAGGACCTTTGCGAGCCGTTTGATACCAAACGGGGTTTCAGACAGGGTGACTCTTCATCGAATTCATGAATTCTTCAATAAGATGCTGGATGTTGAGAATAATAAGAGCTGCAGAGCTGAATATACAAGGTACAATCTTTACTGGCATACGCCGACGATATTGACATTACCGGCCTCAACAACCGCGCCGTTAGTTCTGCTTTCACCAGGCTTGATAAAGATGCGAAGCGAAAGGGACTGGTAATGAACGAGGATAAGACGCTATATCTCCTGTCATCAAACCAACAGGCATCGCATTCGCGACTTGGCTCCCACGTCATAACTTAGAGGTCATAGATAATTTAGTCTATTCTAGGAACATCAATAAGTCATGTCGTCCGAATGGATGAAAGCACTCCACTTTTGAAAGTATTCGATACAGTACCCGCTGGTGAAAGCAGCGGAAGTGGAAGACCTCCCCTCCGTTGGAAGGATCAGGTGGAGACTTGGTATTTCTAACTGGCGCCAAATAGCGAAAAGAAGAGATGATGGCGCGCAATAATTGATTCGGCTATAATCTCGTAAGTCTTCAAGAGAGTTTCCTAAATGAAATAAAAAACTTCTCGTAAGAATCCACTTTCTATTCAAAGTCGGCATAAAACTGTAAGTATCCCATCTGTGAAGTAAAACGTGCACAACAAAGCTCAGCCAGCGGTTATGGAGAGCCAATAGGGGGTTAGGGGCTCAAGAATTTACCTGCGCTAAGGCATGCCTGTCGTAAGAAGCGACTAAAATCCGGGTACTATTGGACAGCCGAGTTTTTATTTCGGAACGACCCGGATTTTTATCCGGCCAAGGACTGTCACTCCCGCAACATTCCACAAAAAGTACTTTGGGGAATAATTTTGCGGTTATAACAACAACAACAGCCAACAATTTTTTTCTATACAGCTATAATTACATAAATATGTGCATATGTATATAGTACATGTGTATATGGAATTGATGCTGTAAAGACCTTAAAGCGATTTTTGTCCGAGCTCCTCCGCTAACATGCTTTGATTATTTTGACGTTTTTCCAACAAAATGAAGAAATCTACAGTTTTTTTTTATAGTTTTAGCCGAATGATTTGATAATTAGGTAAAGAAAATGAATAGAATTCTTCGCCACATACTATTATTACACAAGTACATATAAACGGTTTTGGACCTAAGCAAAGAAGGGGTTCTCTGATAATTTATGACGATTCCGGTTTTTGATATAGTGATACATGCTCAATAAACAAAACCAATTTGTTGTTATTCAAAAGGTTCGAGGTTAAAATATTTCAATATCGATTCAAGTTTTTGAATATCAACATTAACTTCTTAGTAGCATTCGAGAAACATATGCATTTGTACGATAAAAAGAGATACTTGAAATCAAAATAATACTCTTACATACATGTATATATTCTTCGCGCCTGCATATGGACGTCTATATGTATGTATGTAGATATGAATATATATTTATGCATTACAAATTACAAATTATTTTTAAATAACCCCTACTTTTATTTCCAGTTGGCCTATTTTAACAGTGATTACAAAATAAAAAAGCGTTAAATAAACACACATTGATATGTACATAAATGTATAATGCGTTGTATTGTATATCTTAGATATTTTTATACTCCTTAGCTGCTTTACAACCAAGTCATTAGGTCAAGTTTTGAAACCAAACTAGCTCACATCCCAAATTCAGAAATATCTCACAGAAAAGGTACAAGCACACATATACATACAAGTTTATATATGCATACACGCAAGCTCTAATATATATGTATACGTGTGTATATGTATACTTGGCCACATAAGCAATGGTACATACAGACAATCAGTTAGCCCACATGCACCACATGATATTAACTATGAGTGTACTCAGACGAATAGACACGAGAGAAGAGCATTCATACACACATACATATGTATGTACTAAGCACAATTCCCCATACATACATACATATACAATATTTTATTTTCTTCTTTTTCTTTGCTTTACCACTTCGAAGTTATTCATGTCAGTATGTCAGTGACATATCTGCTTTACATTTTTTATGTTGGATTATGCCGCACAAAAGTCGGGCGAGCAACCATCAACGAGTCAACCTACCAGGAAAATGTGTTTATAATTTATACATACATATGTACATATATACATTTGTACATATGCGTTAGTGCTAGATATTATACCGAAAGTGGATGACCTACACAAATATACACACATAATTAAGTACAAATATATATGTATGTATGTACATAAACAAACCTATACAAATGTATGATAGTAGATAAATATGTATGTATAAGGTCACTAAAACGTTTGGTAATTCGTTTTATTTTATTTAAAACTGCATTTCTGAAGTAGCTTTCTGTTAACTCGAGCGATAGTTGCGATATCTTGATGAAAAGCGGGAGAAGTGGACACTTCCTAATAATAAATGGACATCACCGAAGAATAAACAAACAAATATAACCGTTATAGCTGTAAAATTCAAAGTTCACTGAAGGCTAGTTTCATAGTCCTCCATAAATGAAATAACTCGTTTCTTTACTTATTATACATATGAACTACTTAAAAAATTTCGAAATTTATAGGTAAAAAAAAAGTCTTCTGTGCCTCCTTCATACAGATGTGATAAAGATGTACGCGAAATAAACCCTAATATTTTCAGATATTTTATTGGAATCCGCTGACAAAAAGTAGAATAAAAACTAACCATTTGTCGGAACCCACAGATCGAAAACTTTAAATTATTCACTAAATAATGGATAAATATGAGTTCATAAGTAAATATTGCTGAGCATAAGATTAAATTAAGTGCATGGAGGCTATAACTGTGTCTTTCCTGTGCTTCTTTCCGAAATGTTTCAGCGTTCAACATTTAAACCAATTAAGGACGAAGTGATTAGCAATGCATACTACCATACGGTAGATTCGAATCTAGACCGAATTCGAAATATTAATTTTTCTAATTGCGGTCGCCTCTTTGCAGCTAACGTCAATTCGATTGTATATCTGACATAAAATGAAAGCTGCTCATAAAAATCCTTTGACGCTCCACTTCGGCTTCAACTAAACTATGTATGGATCCTCTCTTAGTTGGATAAAAAAAGATGCAAACCATAATTTGAAGGAGGACAGACATCCAATTTATATGCACTGTAAAAAATGAGCTCTACAAGTCGCTCATCATTCCCGTCCTTCAGTATAGCGCAGAATCGGCATTCGTTGAGTTGGCACTTGGAGTTTACGAGAGAAAGGTTTTGTGGAAGATCTTCGGTCCTTTGCGCATATGTAACGATTAGCGCTGCACGAGTTTTTCGCGGCATTGACATAGTTCAGCGAATAAAAATTCAGTGGCTACGCCGGTTAGGTCATGGATGAAAGCGCTCCAGCTCCCCTGGTGGAAGCAAAGGAAGAGACCTTCATTCTGTTGTAAAGATCAGATGGAAAACGACTTGATTTCACTTGGTATTTCCAGCTAGCGCCAAAGAGCGAGGGGAAGAAACGAATGTGGCAATGGACAGTGGAATTTTCAAATGTTTCTCATACAACACTACGGATTTGTTTTATTTTTTTAGGACTTGGCTATAATAATTAATGAATTACATATTCAATTGCCTCGCTAAATATTTTCTTACTTATATTATGTGTATGCTATGTACATTTTCTGTTGTTGTTGTTGTTGTAACCGCAAAATTATTCCCCAAAGTACTTTTTGGGGAATGTTGCGGGAGTGACAGTCCTTGGCCGGATAAAAATCCGGGTCGTTCCGGTATAAAGACCCGACTGTCGCGAGAACTATTGGATTTTAGTCGCCTTTTACGACAGGCATGCCATACCGCGGGTAAATTCTTGAGCCCCTAACCCGCAGGGGTACATGTACATTTTCTAAGGTGATTCGATAACCAAAAGGTGACTGGTCAAACTGTCAACAAGGAGATAAAGTGTTTGCCTCGCTTTCCAGAAGCCATTCGCAAAAATAGGATGAATTCCTAGAACAGTACCTCATGGTTGTTTGTTACCAAGTTAATGCACACGCTTCAGTGATTCTTCTTAAGTTTTCCGTGTGACTTCTGGCTATTCAATACAGCCAAAAGAAAGAAAAGCTCCAGGGAAACCATTACGATTCGAATGAGAAGATTCGATGAGAATCGTATCTAATATCCATCCAGACTATGACAATAGAAAGATATATGTTCATACATGAATGTAGATTTTAAAGGCGATGAAATAGATCTTGACCGTAAGAATAAAGGTAAAAATATCAAAAAAATGTAGACTTTTAATATGGATGGTTTTACCTTTATAGGGCACCTTTCCTTTGGCCCCATTGGAAGTGTGTAGGCTTTACTATTTACCTCGTGAAAAAATTTTTCATTTACTATGGCTAAGATATTTGAAAAATCTCATGCAGTGGAGTTGATTTTTACTTATTGAAGTGGGATGGCCTCGTGAGCATTACGCTCGGTGAGCACTTTTATCATCTTCTTTTCTATCGCCATAGGAGATATGGTGTTCATTATTGCACTGATTGTATTTAATCAAGAATTAAGAAAATGTAAATAATAACCTACAATAATAACAAAATAAATTGAAAATATCACGTGCAAATAAAACATAATTCTCATACCGCTTACATACACACATATATCTATACATACATATGTATCTATATGTGTACTACACACCTATGTACACATATATATTTATGTTCCACATTGATATTAACGGAACTTGACATAAATTCTAACCGTTATATTTTCCAAAGTGGGTGACATTGTTCCTGTTACTCATTGACAGCTTGCAACACAATCCCATTTCTCCGCGACCGCACACCACTTCAATGCGGCTCAGCGTGTTAAAAGAAGCGAACTGGATTTTTACTTTTAATTTTTTTTTTCCGTGAAAAGAACAAAAATAATACAACAATGCTCATAGAAATGCGAATGAAAGGTGAATGAAAATCAATTTTAACCATACATACATATATACATACATATGCATGCACATACATAACTGTATGTGCTGAGCGCTGTGCATTTCGCGCCATACTCCCAAGTTAGAAAGTGGAACAGGAATTTCCCTCATTAAGGTAAAGCAGCGCAAAACGGAGCACAGCAAACAGTGAAATGAGTACG